AAAGACATATATATATATATATATATATATATATATATATATAATATAAATATTTTATATAAAGAACTGTATATATATTTTTTAGTAAAATATAATTGTTCGTACAAAAATATATCGATATAGTTGGTCTGTTTTTTTTATAATTATACTGCTGAACTAGTGCAGCAATAAAGAACAGACCAAGAGTTTCTCTCCGCCCGCTCTCCAGGTAAGGTTAGGTTAGATTAGGTCGCCGTAAATGTCGAGGAGTACATATATCGAATGAAAGTATGTATTTATACTAAATATAACAATTCTCCACAAACCGATAAATAAGTAATGCACAACACAACTTTAGCAAACATGATCTATGTTATATAAATGATTCTTTCGAAATCTTAGCTTAATACGCGTATATTAAAGCAGAAAATGATCGAAAATAGAGCTTTGTAAGATTTGAGGTTATAGATGTTACGAGATTATCATAGAGAATAAGAAAAAGTGAAGCGTTTGGAAAAAAGTATTGTTAATGTATATTATTCATAGGAGGATATCATTGTATATTGATAAATTGTTGAAGACGACATTATGAGTGTTGATTTGGGAGAGCTCTCGCATGATACAAACTTGGTTAATAAGTTGCAACAATTTAGTGACGCGGCATTCAGAATACAGGATATGGTTGAATTGGTTAATAATCCGGCGTTATATGATAAACTTTCAAGACCAGACAAGATCAAATATAATTTATTGCTATCCTTCAGCCTTAACAGTTTATTTTGGATGTATCTACGTGCTGAAGGTAAGCATATAAAGACTGAAATTTCAGAATCTTTTGAGAAAATTTCAAATGATTTGCGTTAATTGTTAAATTATTTCTGTCTATTGTAGGAATTGATCCATCAAAGCACCCCATCAGATCACAGCATGAGCGGTTGAAGAAAGCGATGATAAGAGCAAAGCAGATTGAAGATAGGAATACAATTATGCCACATGTAGACAAAGAAGCTGCTAAAAGATTTGTCAGAAGTGGCTTGTGGGAACCGAAGCAAAAGAGACTCAAGAGAGACAATGGAAAACAAACTGAAATGTCTTAGGATTATTTACATAAATCTAGTCGCCTATATAAATAAGTTCTGTTATATTTTTGCACTAATGGAATAAAGGATTTTTAGGTGTCTTCTATATCTATAAATCTATATTTATATTTATATAACTGTAACATCTCTATGTAGGTGGGTACAAATTTTGTTTGTACAATTTAAAATGTACAACCACATTCACTTCATATTTTGATATTACTTTGAAACGATTTATTTGAAGATTAATTTATTTGACAATACTTTTAAAGCGTAAACAATTAAGATTATCATTAAGAATTTAATATTTACTTGCGGAATTTGATTATAATTTTAAAGACTTGGAAAACTTCGATTTTTTCAAACTTTTCGCGATTTCTTTCTGTCTATTTCCATGGATGAATGGAAAAATTGGGAAAACGAATTTTTCATTTTCCACGGATTTTTTGTTTTTCCGAAAAAATGAGAGAAAGCAGTTTTTGTAACTATAATTTTGACATATTTTTGTACACATTGGCCAACGTATGGATGAAGAAATAACTATTACCACTTAGAATATCTTCGAAAAAGAAAAATATTTGATTAACCACTAGATAAAGATAAGAATATTTATACTTACAGAAAGTGTCCGAAGTGATGACCATTGTTATCGATGCAAGTTCTGAATACGTGCACGAATAGTTACGAATAATTCAATCGAATCGAGCCCCAGAGCAGGACGTTTACTTTGCGACTAATGGAAGCTTTCTGAGCTGAGATTGAATTATTCTTTTGGATATAGAGGAATAATCCAATCTCAGTACAGAAAATGTCCGACAGTTGTAACTGGCCATTACGGTTGTGAACTTGGCTATTATTCCTTCAGACAAGTCTCTTGTCTGATATCGTGAAGTGACCTTTCCTAAATTTATACGATCGCGCTAAACGTAACGCCACAGCATGACGCCGTGACGTGGCGCTCGCAACGGCGCAGCGCTGCAATCACAACGGCGAGAGGGAGCGTCCGTGCCGTCAATGTTGTAGACCCCTATTACGATCTCGTGGCGCGCAGGCGCAGCAAGACCTTCTGGTTAGAGTATCCATTTTGATCACATGTGAGTATTCCGAGCTTCTTGCTTTCGGCGTCGACTAATGGTGCTAATTGCCCGTGCGAACGGCGAAACATTGAAAATACGTGGGTGAATGTCGGGCCGGTTCGTATACGCGCAGCTACGGCACGCCGGCACGCGCCAGGGTGATCCGTAACACGGCCGACGATCACCGTGCGGTCCGCGCTGGCAATGTGGCTCGCTCGCGTTCGTACCTGTCCGTATGCGTTTTCCCGATCGCGTGGAAATACGCCGTGGACGACGACGACGGCAAGCAGAGAGCGTTCCGACGCCCGTCCCAGATGTATCGGTCGCGGGCGTCCACGCGCCGCCACCGCTCTCGCGCTTTCCCCGTCCTCGTCGTGCACGAGGCATCTTTGGTTAGTCGCGCTTCGACCCGTTCCGACATCTCTCGCCCGAACTCCCTACGATGACGCGCCACGTGGTCACCCTGTTCGTCCGGGTGCCGGCATACACGTTGTGATGTCTCCGCGGCTCTCGAGTGGCCGTATACTGTGCGCTACTGACGGTCACGCGAACGCTGCTACGTGCGAATATGCGCAATATACAGATATCCCGTAGAAACGAGAACTTCGCGTTCGGTTGACGCGACTTTTTTTGGAGTTAATACGAACACGGGTTTCGCTCATTGGCTAGGCAGCTATCGGCTCGTACGACCCAAAATTCGTTTTGGCTATAATAACGTTGTCTATTACATTGAATATAGTATAGTACTACTAAAGCACTAAAGAGGAACAAAGTTCTAATAAAATCTTTGTCACTGTGCCATTAGCATTATTGCAAGTCACTTTAGGTATCCTGCTATGATTTTAAGATCATTGTTACTCGGAAGAGATTGTAACTTGTAACATCTAGAACTATTTGCAAACTTGTGCCTTTACTTTGTGCAGACAACTTTAAGTCAACAATGGCAGACATCGAGGATACTCACTTCGAGACTGGAGACTCTGGTGCCTCCGTGACCTATCCTATGCAATGCTCAGCATTGCGCAAAAATGGGTTTGTTATGTTAAAGTCTCGTCCATGCAAGATAGTAGAAATGTCTACTTCTAAGACTGGCAAGCACGGTCACGCCAAGGTCCATTTAGTGGGTATCGATATATTTACTTCAAAGAAATACGAAGATATCTGTCCTTCTACACACAATATGGATGTGCCGTTTGTCAAGCGGGAAGACTATCAGGTAACATAGTTCTTTGTCTCCTGCAGAAGAACGTGTTTCTATGATTGTGAATAATTATAGCATATCCAACCTGTAGAAGTAACTTCACGATGAAAGCCAATCGAAGATACTGGCTTTCAAGCATCTCTATTATTTTTTTGTTCTTTGTTCAGGTGTCCCTTTTTATTTTGATATCTTATGATTCCAATACATATACATTTAATACGAAAGATATTAGAAAAAAATTTAAAGCCGAGGATAGTTCTTTTTTATTCAATATTCAATTATGCTCTTAACATACAATACTGAAAAATATTGCAATTGTTTTGTATTTAGCTGACAGATATATCTGACGATGGCTATCTCTGCCTGATGGCTGATAATGGGGAATTGCGTGAAGATCTCAAAATACCCGATGGTGAATTGGGAACACAATTGCGTGCTGATTATGAGGCTGGAAAAGAGTTACTTGTAAGTAAATTTTTATCTACTTAAGCAACCATACATGCAATTTGTCAATATTATTTCATTTAATATTATTGCATATGTTACGTTGTGCTTCCAAGACACAATTGAAGATACAATTGAAAATATTGTTGAGTTGTACAGGAATATACAAGAAATATGTATATTAACAATTTATATTACTCCAAAATTATTCTATTATATTAAAAAAATATATAATCTTTTGACAGTTATATTATTATAACAATTATAATTTAGTTATCAATCGATTTGAACAATATTATTATAGTTTCTAAAACTTTTGAGATAAAACTATGTTTTTGCTATAAATATATATTGGCCCAACTTAGAAACGGCCACAAAGACTAATTCGAATAGTTTGTTATTCAGTCATGAGTTTACTTGACCTTGAAACTGTTTTTTTTTCCTTTTTTCTCCTGACATTTTTCTCAGAAGAGAATTATTCCCATTAACATTTATTTTCATATTGATCGCAGAAATTGATTGCTTGCTTATTCGTCGAAAAATCTTTCATTTTGCATTTTCATACATATCTACATTCATGTTAATAAGTTCATGTATTTTTTTTAGTGCACTGTATTGAAGGCGTGCGGCGAGGAGGTAGTAATCGCCATTAAAAACAACACCTCCCTCGACAAATAATTGTGTTCAGCCTGAAGATTACGACGACAAAAAGCCCAACACACATTCGAGCAAATACCACCCGCTTAGTCAATCAATCGACACCTTTACCATTGGTCAACCAGGATAAACAACAACAATAACAACCAAAAAACATACAGGAAGATGATGAAGAGAGTGGGAGAGTATAAGAGAGCAAGAGAGGGAGAGAAAGAAAAAGAGCGCTTGAGAGAGAGAGAAAGAGAGGGAGAGAGAGAGAGGGAGAGAGAGAGAAAAAAGAGAGGAAGGTGGAGAAAGCAAAACGGGCTAGCAGTTCCACACATAACAACAGCAACGCGCAGATACGAGAAGCGACTTTTATCAAAGTATAACACCCGCTTACTTAATTATTATTCAACAATAATTAAAATAAATCCGGAAAAGCGAAAACTATAGCAAAAACTATAGGTGACACGCACACTCAGTTACATATACCTACTTATCTACCTACACATGACATCCTAAAAACAAATAGACATACGCGTGTGCGTTTTATGCGCACACTCGCATGAACACACACACATACACACACGTTCACTCTTACACACATCCATTCACACACGCGTTGTTTGTTATACAAGAAAGTGGCGACAACTTTTCAACAGAGAGTTGATTGAGAAATAAAAACTGAGAAAGCCTTGACACATCCTGGATCTTTTTTTTTTTTAAAGAATAGAGAGAGAAAGAAATTATTTACAACAGCTTTGTAACTTATTACACTTATATGTATGAATGAGAGAGTACGTGAAAGAATGAAAGATGCAGAGAGAAAGAGAGAAAGAAAGAGAGCAAGAGAAAATTGTTGGAGACCAATACGAAGAGGTCGTGGGAAAAGGACTGCGAGTCCTTTAAGCGCGCGCGGAACAATTTTTCATGGGATGCTGGCGATGCCCGACACGAAGCAGCTCACTTCAAGCATCTTTCCCATATAACGATCGATTCATAAAGATTAGACAAGACTGGAGTTACACTACACAAAATTTCTACAGAATACCAAAATATATTTTCTTTTCTTTCAAAGAGATCTCGAGTTCTCAAGATTTGTAGGTCTAATAATATAATTGCATTAAAATTGCATTAAATATTTTGAATTTCAGCTCTCAAGAGCTATAAGGATTATGAATTATATAAGAATGATTCGTAATGCTTAAAAAATGACTTTTAGATACCTAAAGTCTCGGAAATATCGAAATCTTGAAGAATGTAACACTCTAACTTAACTAAGTTTAGGGAATCTAAATGCGAAATCAGGAAGATTGACAAGTCCAAGAGATATTCGATATCTACAAAGGCAATTCAGAGGCTTCGAGATTCTGGTATTTAAAGGTTATTGCTCGCGAAATTCAGATTCGAAATGCGCGAGGATCTTGACATTTCTTTGTATTCAACAATTGAACAATGCAAAGGCTTTGGGATTGAAGTATCTAATAGTTCGTGTGTTGGACTCGATATATAAGCATTTAAAGAACACAATAAAGAGCCCATAGGTTCTTATATAATTAAAAATTCAAGTACAATTTTTCGGTATCCGCGGATATCGAGGTGCGCAAGAATCGGGCGTTTTAGACCTCTAAATCCAAGGACGTCGAGATCTTAAGAATATCACATAGGATGACATTTCGCGCGCTTGATAGCCAATGCGACGCGATCGCGACATCGCGTTACGTTCAGTCTGTAATTGGCTTGCGAATGCTCAGACCTTATTACATTTTGTTGTAATACCTCGTTTTAATAAACATTTTTCAGAACAGGTTACACGAGCCGCCTTCAATCGACAAGATGTCTTAATTAGATGATGTAACACGTTAGAATAGACATAATAATTAGGGGATAAAAAAAGAGGAGGGCCGCGAATGGAAGATCCTTGTGTGAACTTGCAAGAGTGCGTACAGAATCTTTTCCTCACATCCTTTCCGTCTCGTGTCCTTCGTGTCATCGTTTGTATAAAAAGAAAATTGTTCCGGAAGTGCAGTCTGAATGATTAGGAATAATTATAAGCAGATAATTAATTACGAGAGTGTAATCACAGTTATCACTGGAAGGTATACGTTCTTTCTCCCTAATAAGAATTCATAGACCTTGAATTTGCTCGATTTGGTGTCCTCGCGATATTCACATCCTGTATTTCCGCCAAAACTTGGTTTATTTTTTAGTACAACAGAGCGCTGCAGATTTTTTCTTCTAAGTTTAAATTTCCTACGATGAAACATTCAGGTCGTTTTCATATAATTTGTTGTAAAATTCCGAAATATTTTTTTTTTCAAGAATCAGGATTGTCGCTCCGGATATATGTTCCCGGCGATTAAAAATCCTTAAAAAGTTTCCTTAGTTAACAATTGAACAATATGAAGGCTCCAAATTACTAAATATACGTATGTGTGAATTTCGCATACATCAGTAATAATAACTGTTATCTTCACATCCTGTCTCCGAATGTCTGATATATATATGTATATATATATATATATCTTGCAAAAGATCCCCTGTTCTTATATAAGCCCCCTCTTTATCAAACACAAGGGGATCCGAAATAACGCGCCTTCCTTGATGACTTTGATCTTTTGCGACGACGATTAAAATCGAAAACTCATCTATTATAATCTAAATGAAATATCGACTAATTAATTAATACAAGAAATAAATCAGCGTCTGTATTCTATGTGTGCTATGTTGGACCAGGCTCATAATTCTTACGATTGTTAATCACAATCGAAAGGGGAGGCACACACACACACATCAGTATGAAAGAAATATAGACATAGTGGAAAGAGAATATTCACACACAGAAGCGTTTCACGGTGACGTCCTTCTTTTAGTCCTTTCTTAGACTGACTTGCCCACACACTGCCATCATTCAGATTTGCAAAACTGAGTTTGATTAAATCATTAAGTTGATCCGTGTTATTAGTAGACTCGTGAAAGAGGGATAAATTGTGAGTAATGATCAGTAGTGTAATTCAAGTGTGAAAAAAGGCACTAACGTAAAAAGAAAATAAAAAGAAGACCGCTTTTCTTTCTTCGTTTATGTACTTATAAATTTTGTGCTCGGTACTTTTGCGTCTCTATATTATTATGAGAAGTAATCTAAGCGCCCATGGATCCTAGGATATATAAGATTCTCAATGTGTGTATATGGTTGCGCAGACGCTTAAAGGCTCCAAGGATTTATAGTACCAAATGACTAAACTATCAACGTCATCTTACGTACAGAAAATTAAATTCTGAAAAAAATTCTGAAAATGAATGAGAATGAAAAGGAAGTCCTCAGTTCATCTGTCGTTTTAGAGGAGAAAAAAATTTGTGGTACTGGCGATCTTTGGGGTCCAAAAACCTATTAGTTCAAGAATTTGTAATATCAAAGACCTATGGCATTATCACGCCATGCATAATCTTGTGAGAGAAGTTCCGATAATAAAGAGAACCGTGATACCCAGGATCTGTGGTTTCGTGAAGATCCATGGTACCAACAGATTTTTGTACTTATGAAAAAAAAGTTTAATACAAACGAATAAACTTTAATTTTAAAATTTTTATTTGCGCACTATATATGGATTCATTATTATAACAAATGCAAAATGCTCTTCTTTTGGACTTTTTACGTAAATAAATCGTTTTATACTGTTCCTCAGAATTAGTTAGTTGTGGCTCGAGTCAATTCCAAACAGTATAAACGGGTAATGTCCTTTAATTAAATGCGTTATTTCACAAAATCTCAATAGTTTATCGCAAAAGTTATATCGCTCTCTTCATCATATTTAACGGACATTAATATAAATGATGAGAATTTCTATGTGAAACTTTTCAAGTTCTCACATTTACACGAAGGGTAAACCTTTCGTTACAACAATTGCGACGCGTTACATTCGTTTTACAACTTTACATTTCAGCGCTTAATTGCGCGCTTTCAAATTTAATCCTAAACAGTATAAGAGGAATATTAATACGCTTTTCAAAATAATTCGTAATTTTCGTAAGATTACGAAAACGTTAGATTGCTATTTTTTCATGATTATCAAATTTAACAAACTGAAAGAGGATTAAATTGCTAGATGTGCTCTTTTTAAGGTCTCCTCACGTAGTAAACGTTAGACTACAATATTACAACTCACTTTTGCACTTTACATTTTTTTTTATTTAATTTATCATTCTAAAACGCGTTGCACCTTTCCCGCATATTTACAATAAACTCTATTTCACTCGAAATTAAACAAAGAAAAATATTTCATACTGTTTAGGTTTAATCAACGCGTTTGTGTTATTCATATCTCCGGGCAACAAAGCGCAGGAAGTAATAAGTGTCACGTTTCGTTCGTGAAGATCGACCACAATGATTCCAAGGATTCGCAAGTTCTGTGGATGCAATCTGGCCTTAAGACCCAGGTGGCAGCATTTAAGACTCCCAAAGGCCCAAGAAAATCTCAAAGCCTTTTCGGGAAAGAAGTTCTCGAAGAAGATCGCCGCAAAAAGAACCCAGAATCTCCAGGAATCCAAAGATTCCATGGATTTCAAGAATATAAAGATGTCTGTGAAAATACAAAGATCCCAAGCAAGGTTGAAGAGGATCCAAAAATACCATGAAGTCTATTCATAATCATAATCAAAGCTCTCTTGCTGCTGCTGCTGTTGCTGCTCGCAAGATCAATTGTTGGCGTTTCGCCTCTGTAATGCGGCCGCGAGATCCTGCCTGAGTGCAGCCTGCTGTCTTTGATCGGCCAAAGACTGCACTGATCGCAGTCCATTCACAATATCTTTCGTCTTGCCAAAGTAGATTTCATTCAGCGTGTTGCGTATCTTGTTCTCCATATCCTCGACCATTCTGCCGATGTTGGCGATATGTGGGGATGTCTCACTGATCTGAGCATCCTGCTCCACCTGCGATTACGTGCGTGCTATACACGGAGCAATTCAACATCGAACGTTGCGACTTTATACGCAATTTCTATCAATTTGATAAGCTTTTACTTCAACATGAAACTGCTAATTTCAACCTAATTCTACTTTGATACAAATTTAAGAGAGAGAACAAACCGAATGAATAGATGATACAAGACACGACGCTTGGAAGAGAGCGAAAAATGTTACATAATCAAATATTGTAAACGGTTCTGAGAGCTTACCTGGCGCGTTAGACTGCCACCCAAATTCATCGTACCAGAGCCGTGCTTATTGGTCTGCAACCATAGCATAGCTGTCGATGTGAGTTTGTAGTGAGCTGTACGTCCCGTGGACTTTTCTTGCACCTCCACGACGTGTATAGAGTCCCAGCAGCCTTTGATCTTCTTGGAACCGTCGCCGGCCTTCTTGATTAGGATCACCGCCGCAAAACCATGATCTAAATCCCATAAATATACCGAAGAAACGCCACCTTCGAAGTAGAGTTCTCGGTACTGATCAAAGGCATGGTTGGCGTCTATTTCAAGTTTTCTCAACCGCTCAGAAGGCATCGAGCCATCTTCTAATGGTGGATCATAAGTGTTGCTCCAAGGAGATCTATAAGATATTGCATGTTCGTATAAAGACTTTATTTTCCTCTCTTGCATTGCCAAGTATTCCAAATGCCTATTTGGAACAAACCTGTATGAATCTCCGTCTCTATTGTAGTCACAGAGAAGATAATCCTTGCCAGACTCCTTATCCTTGGCAATTTTTAATGGTTGGTCTACCGAGGATAACAGATCCTCGCACAGGGAAGGGACCAAGTCAATCAGATCGCTCAGATTCTTCTCAATCTGTTGCGGTGGCAATCTCCGCATCAAATCCAGTGCACAATCCATTTGCTGCTCTGTCTAAAAGAAATTTAACAGCTGAGAGATCAAAGTAGAACACTGTATCTGATCTGTGACTGTCCCCGTTTTTCTCACAAAGCAATTTTAACATTTATTGCGGTATTGTGAGAAGGAAGGGGGCGGTAATAGATAGGAGAAGGATGACACTATTGTCAAATACATGAAATGTCAGATGTAAAACGACTTATTTACAAGTATATACGGTGTACAAGAGAGTAGAAGATAAGAGCAGGATATTCGAGATGTCTCACCATAGTGCTCCGATGTGAATTGGTTATAATAGGCCGACGAACATGAAAACCTCGTTAGTCGATGTCGACAATTGGAATAAACGTGAAACGCGTTTAACAGCCACTACCTCGCTGGGATTTTCTCTAAAATAAGGGAAACGGGCATTTAAAGGGTGTGTCGTGGTGCGAGCAGCGATTGGCTCATCGCTGGCTGTGCCTCCAAGAAGAGCGAGGTTAACTGTCCGCGTCGCAGGATGGCCAAACTGACGTGTAAGTTCAAGCTGACGTTGTCGAACGTGCGGATTGGCCGATTGAGCGGGGAAGTCGCTGAGTGGTGGCGAAAAAAAATCTCGGACACGTTTGATTCGGCTGCACCTTGTGCGCTCGATTATTCCTCGTTCCTTCTTCCGCCAACGCGTGAAACACACAGGTCCGTTCCTCCTGACTGTTTCATGCCATCGCGAAAGTGCTGGCAGAGAGTGCAGTTAGAACGAACTGGCCCTTTATCTGTGGATTTCTTTCGAACAAACGCATCGTGTGTAGACGTTGGCGCGCATCGTGACTCAGAGCTGTGCCTAAGATAGTGATAAATGTGACGTAAGTGTGAAAGATTAAACGTACCAATTGATAAGTGGCAGATCATAGAATGAAAGTGAATTAACTGACGAGAAAATAATTTTGGATATTTCTCAATCGACAGGCATAATATACGAATATCTAGACACGATACATTTGTCCTGGAATACGTCAGTGACGGAAGCGAAGGCATTTATAACGTTTAGTGTACCTCTCCCTCTCTCTTTCTCTCTCTTGCTCGCATTCTTCTCTTTGATATAACGTTACCTATCAGGAGCCTACTATTTTTCGTATCCTACGATCGTGCACTAGGAACTTTTGCGACAAGTACAAACACACGCGCACATGATCTCCTTTGGAGAGATCTCCTCCTAATCGTGGAAATGCATCTCTCAATGCGGACTCATTATTATTGAATCATCACCATTCAACTCCAATATGCTCGAGTATTGGGGCATGAAATTTATATATATTATTAGACAGTATTAAACAGGGTACAAGAAACAGTATATAAAACAGTATTAAACAGTGTTTTAATATATATATATGTGTACACGTATATGCACACATACACATACATGATATATCTACTCGGTTTTAAGTCGTTTTAAAGTGTTTGGGTACATTGCGTCTTGACACGATGGCAAATGTGTGCGAATTTGCGCAAATAATCCCGCAGTGAGATGATAGTGAATGTGCGTTTTATCACGAGTGATCAAAGGTGACAGCGATATCACGAGCAAATCTGGCCTCCTCTTAGTATTCATAATCTTTGAATTATCATAAACACACGAGAATGGGTGTTGGTCTTAAACCATTGGAATTTACGGATTGTTTAACCGACAGTCCGTATTTCCGCGAGAATCTTCATTATCACGAGCGCGAATTGGAAAAGACCAGTCAACAGATCAAACGTCTCGTTAAAGAGGTCAAAGATTTATTGTTAGCCGCAAAAAGTGAGTTCTGCAAAACATCTATATTTTTTTGTCTTTACTTTCCTCAACAAGATACAAACCTGTTGCGTGTATGTTCATATTTATCAAATTGCTAAGTAAGTGATATAAATATCCCGTCAGATTTGTCCAGAGCTCAAAGAGCCTTTTCCAAAACGTTACAAAACTTCAGTTTTGAATGTATCGGCGAGAGCCAAACTGAGGATGAAACCCACATATCTCAAAGTTTAAAAGAATTTGGAAAACTTATAGCATCTATAGAAGATGAAAGAGATCGCATGGTATGTAATACTTTAAATGTTTGTATATAATTAAAATAACTAAATACTGCGTGCATTACTATTATAATTTTTGATAATCTATCTTGTATTTACCAACATGACATTTTTATACAGCTGGGACGAGCACATGACCAGATTATATTGCCTCTGGAAAATTTTAGGAAAGAACATATCGGAGGAGTCAAGGTAACATCATTCATTAGTATTTACTTTACAGTATTTTATTTAATTTTTATAGCTACATTCTATTTAAAATATGGTTGACAAAATTTTAATCATCTTCGGTAATTTATCTCCTTTTCAGGATGGTAAAAAGAAATTTGAGAAACAGACAATCAAATTTTGTCAGAGTCAAGAACGTTACTTGAATTTATCTACTAAAAAACAAGACAACGTACTGCAAGAGGTATATCTCAAAATAAAAGAAAACTTAGAATTGTTCTGTTGACAATTTTATTAGGTTTATGTGAAAAATTAGAACTTTGCGTTAGTTAATATTGTATATGCATGTGCGTACGTAGGCTGATGCAACATTGGAGATGGCTGAAAGACACTTCTCTCAAGCTAGCCTAGAATATGTATTTCTATTGCAAGAGGTTCAAGAGCGGAAAAAATTTGAATTTGTTGAAACGGTAATGGAGAGTAATGGAGTAATCAACTTCTGTGTGTGCATATGCAAATTGCAAATCAATACAACGCAACTTAACATGTTCTAGTTATTGGGATTTATGTTTGGATGGCTGACATTCTATCATCAAGGCCACGAGGTTGCAAAAGATTTTAAACCTTATATGACAGAGTTACAGTTAAAGATACAGAAGGTTGGTGGTCAGTTTTTTCATAACGTTTCTAACTGCTTAAACACATACACATATTGAGTAATATTGAAGAGAAATTTTATCTGGTCGGTATACACTTATGTCAAGTTAATACATGTGATAATAATCATAGAGAATTATTATTAACGCGTGCTATTGCTGTGTGTTTGAAGAAAATCGTGTCGAGCACCACTAACATGTAGATACACGTTTGCTCTACTACAGTATCTCTAATATTGCTGAGATCTCTTTTCGTTTCTGGCTTCTAGCTGGCCAATATCGCACGTTATAAGAAAAATGAGTTAACAACTTACAAATTTTGCTAATTAATTAGAAGTTAGTTTTCGTAGTGTATTCAAGAAACAATGACATGGATTTCTGCAAAGCGTGCGCACACGCAATCGCTGATAATGCAGCTCTATCTTAAAATTATATCTTATATCGAAAAACAACATTTATAATGAAGTACGTATCATTAAACATTTGATAACTCTCTCGAGTTACGAGATTATGACTCATTACATTCCGCGCGTAATATTCTCGACTAAAAATTACCGTAAACACCACGATAGGATCGGTAACAGCATGGATAAGAGCTTACTAATTACGATTTTTTATTTGTGTGTGTGCGTGTGTTTCGCAAGACTAGAGAGAATTTCCTTGCTACCCGGGCTAAAACTGAATCACTTATGAATAAAATGAAGGACATGAAAAAGGTACGTTTCTCTCATAGATGTTTTTGTATCTTTTTTTAATCAATCAATTAATTACTTTGCCGCGTAAATTTTCTCAAGGTATAGGTATTCTTAGAAATATGAATGATGTAGTTACTTAGAAACACATGTTTTATAATTTAATGAAAACTAGTTTATCGCGTAGACCAAAAGAGGAATATATATATTGTATATACAAATAGCTATTTCCATGAATTTTTCTGCTATGCCATATTATAATGTAATTTATACAATTTGATAATTATTGTATAAAGTACGTATTTTATATTTATCTATAATCGTCTTTCTTTAGTCGGCAGTGGAAACCGGTCTGAATAAACTGCATTCCCGCGAAGGCTATTTGTTCTTAATGGAAAAAAGTAAGTTCGTTTCTTTTTCTATAAGTATAAGATTTTCATGGTAAAAACTAATCGTGTCTCTCTCTCTCTCTCTCTCTCTCTCTCTCTCTCTCTCTCTCGTGCGCGCGATGTTTAAGTAATCTTAACATAAAGTTCTTTCCTCTTATATGCTGTATTATAATTAATTATTATATATTGCTAAAAATGATGCGTTATTTGCAGAAGCCTTTGGTACAACATGGACAAAACAGTATTGCACATATCAGAAGGATAAGAAAGAGTTCACTATGATTCCTTACAATCAACTCACAGGGAAATTTGTAAGTACGAAGGCGGAAGAGCAATTGTTAATATGTATAATGTACCAAAGGGGGGAGAAAGAGAGATATATATATCTCATAAGTGACTTTCAATATTTCTTTAACAGAGTAATAAGGAAACCTTCATCCTAGCATCTTGTATACGTCGAACATCAGATACTATAGAAAAAAGATTTTGCTTCGACGTCACAGCTATTGATAAGTGAGTTTACTTCTACTACTTTCCATAGTACATTTATTTTTAGTATTTATATCTTTAAAGAAAAATAACCAAAAAAATTGCTTGCAAAATCTACGATTATCTATTTTTTAAATAGACATATAATTACTTAATATGTACCTTACTATGAGTACTTCGTTTTAAACCATATCAGCGGAAAATGATTATGAATTTCATCTTTCCAATCTTTTCCAGGCCCAATATAACCTACACGTTCCAAGCGCTTTCGGAGGAGGATAGGAAATTATGGATGGATGCCATGGATGGAAAAGAACCCGTGAGTACGAGGTCTGGCTATTAAATAACGAGACTGCGCATGCAGAAGTCGTCCTAGAGGGGTAGGGGGGGAAACGAATGCAGCGTTGGATAGGTGGAAGTGTCTACTATTCCAGTACGAAACCTCGTTTTTGTCGCTGTAGTAGTATTTTTTCTATAGAGGTTAGAAACGAACGTGTTTTTTTCTCGCGCCGATAACAATGTGTGACGAAAAACACGAGCAACGGATCAATGTGAAATTTCTCGTTAAATTAAAAAAAACTCCGACTGAGTGCTATAACTTGTTGAAAGAGGCCTATGGTGAGAATTCTCTATCTCGTGCGCGTGTCCTCCTGCATCCCCAAGAATGAAAAAAGCAAGGATGTCGAAATCAAAATTTAAAGCCATGCTAATCGTTTTTTTCAACATTAACGGTATCGTGATGACCGAATGGGTTCCAGAGGGTCAAACTGTAAACCAAACTTACTATTTGAAAGTTTTGGCAACACTGCGAGAGCGAGTTCGTAAGAAACGGCCGGAGTTGTGGAAAAACAAGTCGTGGATTTTGCACCAGGCAATGCACCTGCGTTAACCCATAACGCGCTGTCTGTGAAGCGTTATTTAGCCGCTAGAGGCACTCCAGTGCTCGAACACGCGCCGTATTCGCCCTGTGACTTTTTCCTGTTTCCAAAGATCAAGTCTGTCTTAACACTAGATTTACGGACTGAGCCAATTTGACTTATTAAAAATTGGATTACTATATTATATAAAACTTAAATATTATTTTTTAAAAACATATGTTGGTTTTTAGTTACGTAATGAAATATATGTAAATGTTGATTCCTCTCCCGCGCAGACCCCTTCATTTCGCATTATCGAATGTGGTATACCTATTTTTACGGTTGTGAGCCAATTTGACTCATAAAATGATTTAATAGTTAATCGCATAACACATGAAATTTATAGCTTACATCAGGCCTGGGCAAGTTGCGGCTTGCAAGCCGCACGTCATTTGTTTCTCCTCTAATTTGTCTCTCCTCACATATAATGTTTGTGTGTGTGAGAGCCATCCTCACTTGTTTTCGCTACTCCGCTACATTATCTTTCTTTTCTACCCACTTCTGTCATCAGTTCAATTTATACATCGCGTGTGAACAGAGCATTTTTAGTGAAATAATATAATTTTATAAAATCCATTTTTTGCAACAAAAATTTGATCCACAAAGGTAATTTTGTAATTTATTTGTAAAAGGTATCACAATTGATATTTATTTTACATCTGGTTATCTAGGGTTGCTATTATGGGAAAATATCAGAAAAATTTGCTTTTGTTGAAAAAACTAATCAAAATAAAAAATGACCAATCAGATAATGAGTCGGATGCAACTGATGTGGAACTATGTGATAACGAAATTGAAATAGAGGAGGAAGCCAATAGAATTGAATTTTCGAGCAATGAAGATGATCTTCGTTATATAGCTCCTAGCAAAAAGAGAGCCAGGGTTATTTCTGATTCTGAAACCGAAAATGATTTAGACGCTATCGATACATCTTGTAATAAAGAAATTTCAACCGAAAAAGCTGCTGATGGGACTTTATAGGAAACTTTATAGGAAACATTGAAAAAAGGTAGAACTGTAGGTAGATTACCGGGTTATACCATATTCAAAGGACGTCTCAGGTCCAACCGCCTATGCTAAAAGGCATATTATGTNTATTATGCTTGGTTCGGTAAGTAGCGCTTTCAATTTCATAATTGACAAAGGTATGATGGAATATATAAAATCATGTACCGAACTCGAAGCTCGTAAAGTTTTGAATAAGGAACGGTTACAAAATCACAATTATGGGCCTTTGTAGCAATTTTGTATGCTAGAGGAGCATATGAGGCAAAAAATTTAAAGTGTTCATATTTGTGGTCTACGAAGTGGGGTCCGGCTTTTTTCTCCCAAACAATGTCTAGAGATAAATTTATAGACATACTTCGGTTCATACGTTTTGATAAACAAAATGAACGCAGTGAAAGACTGAAAACAGACAAATTTACCTTGATTTCAAAAATATGGGATAAATTTATAGAGAATAGCCGGGTTTGTT